GCCCTGAGGTCCTTTCCATGAAGCTCAGTCCAGCAAAGAAGCCAGCACCCAGAGGAAATTCTTGCACGTACTGACTGGTGCGTGAAGCAGTTCCCAAGCTGTTTCCCAGGTTTTGTCCTTGGGGATGGCAATGATAACAAGAAATGGGGCCAGGACTGTCTCAGGCTTTTGTGTTTGTCCTGATAAATTTGTTGATCGATGGTAAGGTGCAATGGGGTAAAGCTATACGGTGTCCACATAGCATTTTCGCATTGCCGATTTGACCCTCGTTCCACCTTTTTAAACTTTGAGGGTGAACAAAACTGTAAAATGCTACGCTCCCACCTTGTTTTAACCACCAACCTCTATTTGGTTCCATCTAAATCTTCCATGTGAGGCTTTATAAGTTAGGAGCAAAAAAAAAAAAAATTTATTTACAAATAAGCGATTTCTATGGGAAAAATATTTCTGTACTTAGGAATGCTTCTTGGGAACATATTCCTGGTTTAAATAAGCTCCTTGTGCAGATGGGTTTTACAGCCCATCTCAACTAAGCTGGAAATATTTAAAGCAAGCATTTTTTTTTTTTTAATTTTAGGAACTCCTTGACTAAGCTTTCCAAGATCATCACAAATAAGTGATGGAAGCAAAATGACTTAAAGAACAACCTACGCCCCGATGACATTGACTGTGAGGACCAATAGATCAATTAGATACGGAAAGTTGGGTTTTGTTTTATTATTTATTTATTTTATTTTTTTTTTTTAAGGTAATCTCTATGCCCAACGTGGGGCTTTGAATTCACGACCCTGAGATAGAGAGTCGCATGCTCTACAGACTGAGCCAGCCAGGCACCCCTGCACCCCCAAACACACAAAGCTGACCTTTAAACAGAGAACAGTATTTCTCTGTTTAAGAGACACCAGCCAGGATGAAATTTTAAATGCCATGTGTGGTTCACCCACAGAGCTGGCTTTGCAACACTTGTTCCAACAGAGCTCTCGATTCTGCACATGGTCTATGACCTTCAAGTGCAGACAGACAGCACACACCTCTGGCTGTTCTGCAGAGCACTTTGGTCCAGGGGCTGTCAGGTAAGGGAGCAAGTGGTTTTCCATTACTTACAACCCACGTTGATATTAAACATAAACATAATCCAGATAAGCTTTCATTTTCTCAGCCTACAGGATAGGACAGGATTAAAACCAAAGTGAATTAAGGGAAGACCCAATGATTTTGAACAAATAACATAAAAGTGTGCAGTTTGGACCCACCTAATTTTGTGTCTGACTATAAAAGAATCCTTGTGAAGAAAATAGGATTTGAAGGAAACTGAATGTCTGTGGAGAAAAGTGTATCTAAATACAGTCAATACTAAGGTAATGAAACAATAGTCAACTTAACGATAAGTAACCCAGTAGACGGTTTAAGTTTTAGATCTATGAAAATATAGATTGTTATTTTTATGTTTTACACAGTAACTAGTCTTAAGCAGTGTGAATGAAGCACATTCTTGGGAAAACAATCACACCATCTGAGGAACTTGCTGACACTAATTCTGAATTAGTCGTTTCTATATTTGTATTTGTATAGGTTTTCACATATCAGTTTAGTTATCAACACAAAAATTTACCTTCTTTAAAGTGGAATTCCCAACATTTCCAGAGTACTCAGAAGTCAGATTTTTTTCCTCCCCAAGATCAGCTTAGACAGAACTAAGATGGTCTTTTTCTTTGATCTCACTAGAATATGAGAAAGCACCTGATATAGAACAGTAATTATTTTCCTACAAAATTCATTTGCAGGCAAATCCTTGGAAAATTAATGTGAATGCCCCGACTCGGGCTGCTCTTCTCTCCCGGAGGCTGGGCAGATCCTATGCTGGCTTGGTCTGGGGACTCCCACACACTAGGGAAGGCCCTGCGGCTTCCCCTCTGGGTAGAAATGACTTGGTTCAAGACTGTGAAAGCCCACATCCAAGAAATGCAAGTCACCAGGGTGGCCCTGAATTAATACAGTTTCTTGGGGACCTTTTAAATGATAGTGTTCCAAGGACGAAACCAGAAGCCACCTGTAATTATTTCTTTACTTTGGAGATGAAGTAGAACAGAATCCGCCTGATGCCTCTGGTCACCTAAACCTCCCTCACACTGGACTTCTGCGTGTAAGCCTGGAGAAAACACTGACACGACAAGGCCATGATACAAAGAATGTGAGAAGGAAAAGAAGTCCAAGTACCAGGCGGGGGAATTAAACTTGCCTCCTATCAAAAAAGTCTGTCTTGAAGATAAAAAACGTTCTGAGGATGGATGGTGGTGATAGTAACACAACAGTGTAAATGTCTTTAATATCACTGAACTGTACATTTAAAGAGGATTAAAATAGTAAATTTTATGTTATGTACATTTTGCCACAATAAGAAAGTCTTGTACTGGTATTCATCCAACCCCTCGGTATGGACACATAATGGTCAAAATTTAAGAGAGAAATGTACTCTAAAATCAGAAAGGGACAGGGGTGCCTAGGTGGCTCAGTTGGTTAAGCCTCCAACTCTTGATCTCAGCTGGGTCTTGAACTGAGGATTGTGGGGTTTGAGCCCTGCAATGGGCTTAAATTTTTAAACAATCAGAAAGGACAAGGACATATGTTTGCATTTTTGCTATAATTTTCTCATCATTTAAAACATATAAGGTTAGAAAATCATTAAATGCTGGTCTCACACAGGAAATTCACCTCCAAGTTACTGTTGGCCTTTAAAAGTCGTGCTAAATTTACATACACTTCCTTCCAATTAGTTTGTTATTCATTACACAACTGAATTAAAAACAAAACAAGAGCAAAAACACCCAGTGCCTCCTCCCTTAAAATTTTGTTTGGATGCCTTCCCAGAACATAGCAACTATTTAAAGGTCTTAATTTTTTACTTTTCCTTGTATCAAAATGTCCTTTTTTCACAATTTGTTCTCACCCCACCCTGCCCTGCTCCCCCAAACACAAGGTTATGGATAAACATAATTGATTAATACGTCACAGAGCTATAGGCTGCCCATGCCTGGGAAAAGCTCTTCCTCTCAATCCTGGGCTGATGTGGAAATCACTACATTGGGTAAGGAGATGCAAGGTGAGTGGTAATTTACAAATGCCGGGTAGGTGCCTGGACAGCCCAACTGGAAGCATAAGTCTAGAGCAGAGAGTCTACGAATATCACCGTAGCCTGCTGCAGTCTGTCATCACGTCTGCTTGTGAACACAAAGGGTGGAGTTCATTTTTTCTTGGTCCCAGTAATAGATCATGGGGATAACTTTCGACAGGGTCAATGAAATGACAGGAGTTATACAAAATCATAGATGCTTCCAAGCAGGAATGTACTATAAAGATCAAGGAAAAACTCCTATTTCAAAAAAAGAAAAGAGTTCCTGTTTCATGGGGCTATCAAGGTAACACAAAGCCCCTTGGTCTGAGCTGATTGCTTTCCAACTCTTCAACCAGAAAACGAAATGACAGCAGGTAGAGTACAACGTACCATTGGACGTACTGATTATCCTCAGTACCAAAGAATCGGGATGTTATTTTTATATACCACAGCATTTAATGTCCCTTGTTTTACCTATAGTGGAAACAGTATGAAAATGGGAGAAAACGTTAGCATAAAAAATGTTAAGTAAGTCACTCTCAGAACAGATTTGTCCCTTTGAAGTAGTATACCATTGGCCAAGGCTTTAAATGTTACTTTGTACTTACTGAAATTCAAAACAGACCAGCAAAGTACCTTCAAAATAAAGATTAACAAAATAAACTAGAAAAGTATTTCCAAAGTAAAGATGACCAAAAATTAGTTACCTTGAGTACATTAGCTGTCAATTGTTCTAACACATTACCAGAAACCTAGTGACTTAAACCGCACAAATGCATTATCTTACAGTTCTATAGGCTAGAGATCTGACACGGGTTGCCCTGGGCTAAAATCTGGAGGCTCTAGGGAAGACTCTGTTTTCTTGCCTTTTCAGCTTTCAGAGGCCACCCCCATTCCTTCGGTCATGGTTCCTTCCCCCATCTTCAAAGCCAGAAATGTTGTGTCTCTCTCCATTCTGTATTTTACATTTCCCTTTGGCCCTGACATTCTTCCAATTCCCTCGTCCCCTTTTAAGGACCCTGGGGATTATACTGGGCCCACCTGGAAAACCCAGAATAACCTATTTCCAGGTCAGATTAGTACCTTAATTCCACCTGCAACCTTATTCTTCTTTGCCATTTAAACCAACATATTCACAGGTCCTGGAGATTATGACATAGACATGGTAGGGGTTAGGGTGGCATGATTCTAGCTACCACACATTAAATACACATGTAAATAAATACACCACAGTTTAATGTTTTGTAATAGTTCAATAGTTGTCATTCGGTTGCCTTCATCTACAGAATTAATCTTTTTTATCCATATAAAACAAATCGGACCAGTCAGATGCAACAGTAACAAAAAAATGTAAAGCAATATAAAACAAATTGTACAACATTACAAGGTAGTGATTATTTGTGTGTATGTGTCCATATATGTATATATAAAACTATACAATGTATACACATGTGTATATGTGTGTAAACACACACACACAATTTTACAGTTAATCAAGTCGTTCTAGAAAAATCAATATACCAGAAAGATTCCAGGGAAGGTAATGCTTCTAAAATAAGGCCACGCTTATGAAGATCCAAAATCAAAGACAAGGTTCCTAACGAGAACAGTCCTTTTCCCCTTTTTCTCTCGATTTTTTCCTGGTGTGCTACTGCCCAAATTTACTGTCCTTGTGCCCTGAAAGGCCTGCTGCCTGTGAAATGACCAGAGCCCACAAGAACAAGGTCAAACCACCAACCCACAAATATATTAGTGAGGCTGGTCTGGAGGAAATTGCTGGAAAACAAAGGATATCTGTGCACCCCTGCGTCCAGTGCACCTGCCCCTCCAGAGAAGAAGGTCCTGATCCTTTCAATGGCTGCGATGCTAGCTTTGGTTGTCCAGCTGGACTTTCCTTGAAAGTAGGACCACTGCCATCGGCGAGAGCTGGTACCCAGTCCACACCGGACTCAAAAGATGGGAACGTGGTAGTGGCGGTCATTCTCTGTCAGCAGGGAGATCTCTGGCCACTCCCTGGGTGGCAAGTCTGGGTAGCAGACCTCGAAGTCTCTGGAGTTAAACTTGAACAGTCTGAACACTTTCATCTTTATTTCAAGGGAGTACCCAAGAATAAACATATCGATCTGGAGAAGAGATGAAAAAGAGGTCACAAACCGAACCATGAGAGACGATGGACTCTGAAAAACAAACTGAGGGTTCTAGAGGGGAGGGGGGGAGGGGGTGGGTTAGCCTGGTGATGGGTATTAAAGAGGGCACGTTCTGTGTGGAGCACTGGGCGTTATGCACAAACAATGAATCATGGAACACTATATCCAAAAGTAATGATGTAATGTATGGTGATTAACCTAACAATAAAAAATTAAAAAAAAAAAAGAGGTCACAAACACACATTTCCAACTCCCTGTCCCCCACCAGAGGAGGGAGCATGTTCTCCTGCACCTTATGGAGTAATGTGCTTATTTACAGACCCACGCACGAACCACTGAGGGGCCACAGGCACGAACCACTGAGGGGCCACAGACACGAACAAATGCCCACGACGTGGAAGGCAGGGGAAGGCAGAGGAACCTCTTTGTAGACTAGCATGAAAAATTTACAGGGAAAAGCTGTTTGGGACAAAAAAAAAAACAACTAATAAAAAATAAAGGAATGCTCAGAATAAAAAAAATCACACTGTTTTCCAACTAGTTTTATATCCATTTTTTATAAAAATGCCAGGTAGTTTTGTGCACTGCCTAAGAGAGCAAAGCCCAACAAAACCTCTTTACTGTGGGGATAAAAAAGTATTCTCTGGATTTAAAAAAATTTTTTAAAGATTTTATTCATTTATTTATTTGATAGAGAGAGCATACATGAGCAGGGAGAGAAGAGCAGAGAGAGAAGCACAGGGAGAGAGGGAGAAGCAGACTCCGTGCTGAGCATGGAGCCTGATGCGGGGCTCGATTTCACAACCCTGAGATCATGACCTGAGCCAGGATCAAGAGTTGGCCGCTTAACTGAATGAGCTACCCAGGCACCCCTGGATTTAAAATTTTTCAGTAATTTTTTTTAAGTTAAAGTTCATTTATTGTTTTTAGTCATCTCTACACTCAATCTCTCATGACCCTGAGATCAAGAGTTGCATGCTCTTCCAACTGAGCCTGCCAGGCGCCCCTAAAATTTTTCAATAATGTCTATCTAAAGATAAGTAACCAAGTACTTTCCCAAACTTCATCTCATTTTCCAACAGGACTTCCTCCTGGTTCAACTCTGTTGTGGGAGAACCTGCCACCGTCTGAGAGGCAGAGTTAAAGGTTAGAAAGGCTTCTCGCACTGGGGCCCCCTGGTCACGGGGCTGGGCAGACACACAGCAAACAGCACGGAGCAGTGAGGTTTCTCGCTCTTCTTTTCCTTCTTTTTAAGGGTTTAAGATAAAACCCTCTTTGCAGTGGGCTTTATCACCGCTGAAAGTAAACTCCAAACACCTGTGTGTTCAAGGACTGCCAATATCATCCTGAATCAAACACACAGGATTCTTCTACCCCCATTACCTGCTCTAGTCCACATGTGTCGCCCACAGAATTCAGGTGATTCATCATGAAGCTTAAAGGGTCAGATGATGTTTCCCGGGAAAACAGGAGTTGAAAAAGACTGGGAATGACCTTGTTAGTCTTCATTTGTTCATAAACTTCAGTGACTTGATATAGCATGATAAACTTTAAAGCTTCATACAGTTTATATTCCAGAAGAACATCAGAAAAAAGGATGTTGCACATACTTCCTCTCTTGTGATAATCTTTAATTCCACTAAATTCAGTCCACTAAAAATACAGATGTAAAAGGGAAATTTACAGGGGAAAGGTGAATTCCTATACCATGGCATAATTTTTCAAAGTACTTATAAAAATAAACCAAAGATTAATAGAGGGGAACTTTAACTTTTCATTTTATAGCTTTTGACCCTGATTTTTTTTAACCACAAGTATGTATTACTTTTACAATCACAAACTAGTTAAAATGAAACATTTTTCAAATAAGCACCACCAACTAGGTAAAATGCCACGCAAGTTAGTTTCCTAAGACATCTTAAGGTAGTTGGGTCACACAGAAGATAATCCAGAGACAAACAGTACTAACTAGCACTCCTTAATACTCACTTACCAAGCACAGATTAAAGCACTCCACATGTGTTAACTCACTGAATCCTCACGACGACTATTTACATATCAGTTTTACATGAGACTATGGCACAGAAATGTTATGGTATTTACCATGGAGGATTCATTCCAACAATCCAAAATCTGCGTCTATTAAAAGGCAGGAAAAACACCCAGTTCAAATTATAGCATCTGTGCTGTGCCCAGGTTATTAATAGGGCACATCCCAGAAGTGCACTTCTGAGTGCGCTATCTGCACCTTGCACCCCCATCTTTTGAGGGGAAACAGGTATGTGATTGTTAAGGTTTCCCAGAGAGCCACAAAGGTCTCCTTAACCCATATTGGGCCTAATTGTCATGTACAACATTGCTCGTTCATTACTTGGAAGGTGAACAAAGAATAGGAAAGCCAATCGTCAGTTCCTAGAAGAGATGTTCCTGGCCACGTGTCCTCCTTATGTGGCATCAAGTGACATGCCTGACAGAGGAGAGTTGCTATATCTGGGGTGCACGCTTTCATTCCTAGTGTCTTCTTCTCCCAAACACTCACCTGTGTTTTCAATAATTCCACACATTTACGTAATTTTCCAAACACATTGGAACCTGTATACTTCTCAGGACCAAAACTGTATTGCTGGATCCAATTACAACCTTGTGAAAAGAGCAGCTTTTCAGGAAGCTTGAAAAGGAAGTAGATGCCAACCATGATTAGTACCTCAATATTTATGACACACAATTTAGAGTACGTCATCACGGTGCGTGATCTTATCTCACTTAGCAATCTCTGTTTAAAAACACGATAACAACAGTTAAATAAAAGCATATAGTTCCTTTTAGATTTGTGGATTAAGTGATTTGGATCAGATTTTTAATTTATTATTTTACAACTGACAAAAACATACATGAAGATTATGTCTATGGAAACAATCTTTCTGCATAAAACACTTCCCAAACTGCCTGGATATATCCCTTTAGAAATGATTTTTACCCAAACAATGCTAGAAGACCATAGTACGTCAGGGAGCATGCAGGCTTTAAAATGAGGCACTCTGGGGGCCACCCCTCTCTCTGTCACTTACCAGCCGAGAGGCTGCTCAACCAGTGCACATTATTTACTCTCTCAGCCTCATCTTCACCGTAAACCAAGGACAATACTATCTATTCCACAGGACCCTTGTTGGGATTTAATAAGATTACAGAATACTTAAGCCTCTGATCCAGTGAAGGGATCTAATCCATTTGCCCGCCCTGCCGAGCCCAGAGGCTCGGTTGTATTCTCTGTCCTCAGCAAGTAGCCGCAGGCCTAGCACACCCCACACACTTGACAAGTACTTACTAGATAAAATGAAACTTTATATTTACTTGCTCCTCCATCCTTAAACGTACATCCTAGATTAAACATCCTACATTCAAAATAAAAATTCAGGTTGTTCATCAAGAATGTCCTGCCTTAAAAAAAAGAAGAAGAAAAAGAAAAAAAGAATGTACTACCTTACACTCTTAAAATGAAAAAAAAAAAAAACAAGGCACAGACTGGGAGAAAATATTTGCAAATCACATATCTGATAAAGCACTTGTACTTGGAATGTATAAAGAACTCTCAAAATTCAGTCAATAATAAAATAAAACAAAAAAAATAAAAATAATTTAAAAATAAATAAATAGGGGTGCCTGGGTGGTTCAGTCGTTAAGCATCTGCCTTCGGCCCAGGTCATGATCCCAGGGTCCTGGGATCGAGCCCCGCATCGGGCTCCCTGCTCAGCGGGAAGCCTGCTTCTCCCCCTCACTCTCCCCCTGCTTGTGTTCTCTGTCTTGCTGTGTCTCTCTCTGTCAAAAAAATAAAATCTTAAATAAATAAATAAATAAATAAATAAATAAATAAAAATGGGCAAAAGACTTGAACAGACACTTCTCTAAGAAGATAACATGGATGGCAAATAAACACATGGAAAGACACTCATCCTTCCACACTAGGGGAATGCCAACTAAAAGCATAGTGATACCAGGGCACATCTATCAGAATGGCTACAAATAACCCCAAATCAATCCTGGTGAGAATGTGGAACAACTGGAACTCTTACACATTACTGGTAGAAATGCAAAATGGTGGAGCCACACTGGAAAACAGATGACAGGTTCTTATGAACTTAGACCTACACCTACCACATGACCCAACAATCTCATTCCCAGGCATTTGCCCAAAAGGACAAAATCCTGTATGGAAATATTCATAACAGCTTTATTCATACTTGTCAAAAACTGGAAATAATCCAGATGTCCTTCAAGTGATGAATGGATAAACAAACTGCGTCAGACTCATGTCAAGGAAGACCACTCAACAATAAAAAGGAATGAACTACAAATTCACAGAACATGGATGAATGGCAATGCATTTTGCTAAATGAAAGAAGTCAGATTCAAAAGGCTACACACTGGATAGTTCCACGTATTGGACATTCTGGAAAAGGCAAAATGATAGGGACGTAAGACCTATCAATGGTGACCTGGGGCTAGGTGTGAGAGAGGGTTGACTATAAAGGAATTGGGGGGAGTCTCTGGAGCACTCTATGTGTTTGTCAAAACTCCAGTAAGTGTAGAGTAAAAAAGTGAATTTTAGTAGACCACCTTGCCTGTGAAGGACAGATGCTCTTCTTGAGAAAAGATGGTGACATTAAAAACAAACAAGACTGAGTAGGACGGTCTCTCTGAGATGGACGGGGTATGTAGGGCCTTTGAAGGCTCCTTCCATCTCAGGACACACAGAGCCGCCCACGGAAGACCCGGCCATCTGCACTGCAATGCTTGTCAACACGTTGTTCCCCCACGTTTCCAGTGTGTGGACGTACCTTAACAATGTCCTTCTCTTTCATCCAGGATGGAAAGGAGAGGCCCTGGCTGAATATCTGGAACAGCACTGACCTCAGAGCGTCATAGTTATCTCTTTTTACTAGTCGGACACATTTAATGTGATGCCGCCAAAATAGCTCTTCGTAAGCCTGTCCGCACAAAAAGAAGAATTTGGTTTTCAACTCCTCTGGATGAGAGAATAAGCAAAATGAATTCACTGCACTGCCAGTGAGGCGTGACTCCCAAATAAAGTGGACAACAGAAGCGAAAACAATTCTAAATTATGAATGTGACCACAGGTCATTTTAAAGTGACTTCCGTGTGTACTGAGTCCAAGTCCTGCTCTTTCAGTTGATAAATTCCTGGAAGCTCAGGGCCAGGGAATGTCATTTAGGGAAGATGATAGCTACAACTGACCACAGTGGGGAAAAAAATAATATATACATTTAAGACCATGCTAAAAAGTACTTGAAACAAAACTTTCTCGCTGCTGACAAGGTTGGATAGCACTGCTGGGAATATTTACCAAGACTGGTCCAATGGGCAATTCTAAAAATCCTCAAAATCTTTTACATCCAGGTGCCTAATCCCTCCACAGAAGTCTCCCCTGCATGTGGAGATGGGCCATAGGCCTAGCAGGGGGAACTGAAAAGAGTGCCACCCTCAAATTTCCTGCAATTACAGCCTCATTTACGTCTTCGTCCAGGTCCTCAAAGGCCCTCGCTCTATCTACGTGACAGCCCGAAGCCAGTGTGTGGCAGCTGCTTGGCTTCATCATGAGAACCACAATTGTTCCTCGCAGCACATCTGGTGTTAGCGGATCTCCGGGCTTCGTAAAGCAGCGTGCAGTGTTTGCTTCCTGATTTTCACACACACATTCTGCACCACCCGTGACCTGTGTCAGCAGACGCACCTTCCTCATCAGCTTGGCACGTGGCGTCTCTCCTTTCCACTCTCTCGCACAGTAACTGAGCAGATCAACCTCTGCCTCCACGCTCAGATTCCCTGGACCAAATCAAATAGAAAAGGTAGTTAATTTTCCCTTTCCTCACCCTTCTCGAACCTCTCTGCACCTTAGAAATAACATATGAAAATATTTACTTTTGAATTTTCTCTGCAGATATCCAATCCACCTAAAAGATAAAGGGAACAATGATATCAAAAATCTACTTTGAACAGCAAGGGTCTTTTGGTGAAACTGGAAGCTGATCCGACCACCTACCATTTCAGCCAGTGCCCGAAATCGCAGTGCATCCTCCTGAAGTAGCAGAGGGCGGCCACCAGACATGAAGCTGCCAACATCACTGACCCCTTTGCTATTCTCCACACGGTACCTAAAGCTTGGCTGGTGACTAGCATCCAGGAGTGAACTTGGTCACTTCCTACAAGAAATTAATAATAATAAAAAAAAAAGGCACATCACAATTACACAAGTCTGCTTTGTTTAAGGGGGAAAAATATATTGGCTAATTTTACCTGCAAAGTGTCTCTCATTGATGACATAAATAGTTTTTATTTTTTATATATTTATTTTTTAAAAGATTTTATTTAGGTATTTGTCAGAGAGAGAGAGAGAGTGAGAGAGCACAAGCAGAGGGGAGAAGCAGGCTCTCCACTGAGCGAGGAGCCCGATGCGGCACTCGATCCCAGGACCCTGGGATCATGACCAGGGCTGAAGGCAGACGCTTAACCGGCTGAGCCACCCAGGAGTCCCTGATTACATAAACAGTTTTTAAAGCATTCAAAAATTCAATCTGAAAGTTAAAGAAACCCCCGGTTCCCCTATAATCGATGTTCTATGTAAGAATATCTTTGTTCCACAGAATTTACCAGGAATAACCATCAAGAGTATCGGTTCCGGAATCCCCGGGACCTGTTCAAAACCTGCCTCTATCTACTACCCTGGCTGTGTGACCAGGGGAAACCTGACTTCTCTCCTCTGAATTGTCTTGACTGTAATATTGGGGAAAACGTGGACCTCACTGGGGCAAGATGGAATGGGATGATTTCCGAACCAGCACGGTGTGCCCGTGCACTGTGTTGTGTATCTGTTGAAGCTAAGAATGGTTCCAGGAATTCTGCTCGACACCAGGGGCCTCCAGCAATGCCACCGCCAGGCACTTCTGCCCACTTGGATATTCTTAGATCATTATGAGCCATAACACATGGCATCACCTTCACACACACAATGAGGGACCCAAACAGCAGGCTTGACATCACTTCCAGGAAGTGGACCCCTCAGAAGAGCAGTGAGGTGGGGACAGGCGTGCTGCGTATGGTACATGTTCCCATACCTGGTGTGACCAGGGAGAATGAACGGGCCAGAGAGCTCCAACTGTATACTTACAGTATTTTACTATGGGCAGCAGATTCCCAATGGTATTATGCTTGAGCATGTAAAACGCTGAAGTACAAATGAGGAAGAGAACTTTTGAATAGTGGCCAAACCTCCCGGGGTTCATTGTGAAATCATTCCCTCCCTGGCACAAGGTTTAGTAAAATTCCAGTGATTAACTGGAGTAAAAGCCTCAGCAATTCAGGATCTGCAATTGTAGCCTTTTTTTTTTAAGTCGGCTCCACACCCAACGTGGGGCTTGAACTCACAACCCCAAGATCGAGTCACGTGCTCCACCACCTAAGCCAGCCAGGCACCCCAATTTTAGCATTTTTGACCATATGGATATTTGATATACATTTAAACTCTCATAAGGAAAGAATTTACCAGCAAATAAATTTACCAAAAAAGAAAAAAAGAAAGAAAGTTACCAGCAAATAAGAATAGACATACTTACAATCACTTAAAAGGGCATTTTCAAAAACAGGTACTCATCTGTTTAGAACAATTCATTAGCTGTTCATTACATATTTACTCCTGCCTAGCTATTTAGTAAAACTTTTTGGGAGTTGTTTAAAAATGTAAACCTATACTGCCTTTACATCTATAATTTAGATTTTTATTAATTCAGAGTGATTTCCCAACTGTGACAATTCTGACCTATGCAAATACTTTTAGTAAATCCTTAAATTCAGCAAGAACTAGAATTTTGTCTAGGTGATACATAATTTCTCTTCATGTATTTATAAACATTTTCTAGAAAAGTGGAATATTACACATGATTTTACAGTTTGTTGTTTCTCTTCATACAAAGTAGACATCTTTTCATATCACTACATATAGATCTACATTCTTCTTTTTAAAGAACGCATATTATTTCAGTATGAAGACAGACCATCACGTATGTACGTAGTCACTGCCTTACTAATAAACCGTTGGGATTGTTTTCCATTTCTCACTCTTAAAAACATTGCAGAGACAGACATTAACCTCCAACGGTCCTTGTGGGCTCAGGGGAGCTTTTAGGATAATTTCAAGAACAGGAAACTCTGGATCAAGAGGTGTGTACATTTTTAGTTTTGACAGATATTGCCAAAGTGCCTTCCGGAACAAACCATCAATTAACCCCCCCATCACATGTCCCAAGGGCCTGCATTTTCCCTCAACCCCGGCCCTGGGTCCTGGTTGTGATTTCTCTCAGTAGTCTGCATTTCTGTAGGAACACATTCACATTTCCTCTTCCGGGGAGAGACTTGTAGAGCGTCTGCCCATTTCCCACGGGCTGGTGCTCATTTTCATGTGGACTTGGAGGGCTTGAAGTCACCGGGGTGGGGTCCGGCTGCTGCTCCTCCGTGGGGCACCCTGCTCTCATTTGTCCCAGACTCTAACCAACTCCCGGCACCCTTTGAGTTCCTGGCAGGCCCCTGGGGGCACTTGATTTGAGACCCCCTAAACCAGTGCCTTCTCCTGAGCATGCGCCTCTCTGGCAGCTGCCTGGGGCCTCCACGGGATCCTCTACAGACTATGGCTCACCTGACCCCTCCCCCCCACATATACAACACACTTCCCTGGCCCTACTGCTTTTATCCTGAAATTAAACCCTGCCTCCAACCCAAGAAAGGGAGATAGGATCAACTTATCAGAAAACAAACAAACACGTGAGGGCTCAGTATGCCTCTCGCGTGCAAACCTAGAAAACAAGCTTACATTCCTGGCCTCCCTCTACCTAACTGGCACAGTTTTTGGTCAAGTGACTTAACCCAACAAGGGCCCGGGAGCATAATCATGGGGGCTGCTGTGGGCGCCAGGGAGCAACCTGGGGGCGGGACCCCAGAAGTCCCACGGGAGCAGCTGCAGCTCATAGACAACTCTGAGGGGTTCATACAAGATACGATGACATTCCGAGGAGTGGGGTTTCTTCATCTAAGGAGAGGAAGTGCAGTGCTTTAGTAGGAAGCGTATGGCTTCATTGGTCGCCAAAACGCCTACAGTTTGAGTTTTGCTATATGCCAGAGCCATGCTATGTGCTCCATAGGAATTCATTCCCTCATGCACCTGAAGACGTTCCTCCACCCGGGGCCCCAACCCAGCCCTGCTCATGCCCTGGTGACTTCACCTCCCTAAGCTTCTGTTTCTCAGCCTGGGGATGGCAACAGTGCCTGGCACCCACGGAGTGCTGACCGCACGCCAGTTCCCACGGAGTAACATGGGGGATGGAGCAGGTTCTGCCTCGGGAGCCGTTGTGAGGGGGAGTGGAAATGTTAGAGAAGCGCTGAGCATGCCATCTGGCAAACCCCGAGTCTCCAAGTCCATGTTCATTATTATTTGTATTGCTATTAGTCCAACCACCCTTCTTTTGCAGATGAGGAAGCCGCACAGGAGAGAAAGATTGAAACATAAGCTGTAAAGCTGAGATTCAAAGCCAGGGCAATGTGGAGCCTGAGCGGCAGGCCCCATCTCTTGGTGCTCCTGCCTGTGAAGTATGCCCCTGAGTCAATCTTCAAATCCGATTTGCTACGGCAAGTGGAATTAAGACCCCTAATAAAGAGACTTAAAATCCATCTCCCCGCCCTCCCCCCCACGTGTCAATAACTGGATTACAACTCAAAAAAACAGCCATAGACGAGAACACCACAAATGAGGTGCCTCGCGGAAAACTCTCATCAGCCCGACTCGGATGATCTCATGAGCCAAATCTCATCTCCCCAAACACAGCAGAGAGGGGATAAAATTTCCCATGTCAGGACCTTCACTGGGGTCCCCTGTCCGCCAGCCCACCGGGAGGATTCGGCAGTGACCCGCCCAGCCTCCCCTCCGCTGTCGCTGGGGCGATGCTGACCCCGGCAACCAGCGGGAAAAGATATATAAAGTGAGTCGAGGACAAGGAGAGGCAACACGGGAGCGGAGCGGGGCGGGGGGGGGGGGGGGGACGGGAGCGGAGCGGGGCGGGGGGGGGGGGGGTTGGCAATGAAGCCTCTCCCGCCAGAATTATGGAGTTAGTTCTCACCCATGTTCGACAAGCGAGAAAAAACAAAATTTCATTTTAGTACTTTAGGAATGGACCACTTGGGTGGTGGCTGAAATGAGGCCACCATGCACCTCTGTCCTATTGGAAAGTGGATTAACTAGGTCTCACTGCTCCCCACCCCCCAGGCTGCAGCGCGAAGACATGCGAGAGACCCCAACCCACACAGTCAGAAGAACGAGCACTTAAGTGGCTCAGATGCCCTGGAGGAAGGGCACCAGAGCCTCCCGAAGTCAACAAGGCGGCTATCTGAAAGTCAAATCTCATCTGCCACCACTCACACTATATATGGCAGATAGAGACCAGGACTAGAAGTGAAAAAAAAAAAAAAGAGAGAGAGAGAAAGCCACTTTTTTGCGGTAAAATACTACTTAGAATTTTTTCCATTCTCTAAAATGTACCAAAGCTGAAATAATTCAAACAGGAAACCAAAAGGGAAAAAAAAAAAACAACCCTGAAAACAAAACCAAAAGACACTGCAGGGCCAGAAGCAGGTTGATTATGCAGATGGCAGTCCCACCGGGGAGCCCTGGGCTCCTTCTCGTGGAAACTCCTCAGTGTCTCCTTCGCCCCCAAAACTTCCAGGGGTGTCCCGGGCCCAGAGAGCCCATCCCTTCCTGCCTCTACTTCTCTCCCAACCCCTTCCTCCTACACACATCTGTCTACACAGCCAGCTGCGTCTGGCTGATGATTTTCTCCTGAAGCAGATTAGGGGATCCCCAGTGGGCCATGGAGGGGGGACATTAGACCTGAGCCAAAAGATGTAAAAGGCAATTTAATTCAGATGCCTGAGAGCAGAGGGAGTGTAGAAATATACGCATTAAAATCATCTTGTTAAAATTTAAGGTAAAAGATACTAAGTTGAATTTAATGCCTACAACGGCTCTTCCATCTGCGTGCATCCCGTGTTACGGTTACTCAGCAGGACCCGGGAGACAGAGTGCCCGAGAGAGACTTACGGATGGATCAGGACGCAGACGGACCCGTGGGAAAGGTCCCAGGACAGCTGCACACTCTGTGTT